TTTGAGTGATGGACAGCGTATCGTAAATTTCGAAATATTTTTGTTTTGGCTAAAAATAAAAAAAAGGGGGGGAGTTTTTTTTGGGGTGGTTTTTTAAAAAATTAAAGGAATCCAGCCAGGGTATTCCCCCAAAAAGGGAGGGAATTAAAAAAAGGTTTTTTAAATCCCCAAAAAAGGGGATTCCCCCCCTTTTTTGATTGGGGTTTGGAGAAATTTTGAATTAAAAAGGGGTTTAGTTGGGATTGAAAAGGGGTTGGGCAAATGAGTTTTAGTAGGTTTTGGAAAGGGTAAGGATGGGAAAAGGTTTTGAGTGTTATTTTTTTTTGTTTTTTAAAAAGGGGGGAAAGTTAAAGGAAAGAGGGGGGAAAAGGGTTTTAAAGAAAGGAAATTTCCCCCGGTTTTAAAGGAAAGTTAAATTTTTTTTTTAACCCTTTTTAAAATTTTTTAAAAATTTAAAAAATAAAAAAATTTATTTGAAAAATTTTTTGGGGGGAATAAATTAAATTGGAATTACATTATTTTTATAAGAAAAGATTCGGAAATTATTGGGTTTAGTATTATTGGAGGGTTAATTAAAAAAAGGGGGGCATGAGAGGGTATTGATTTAAAAAGTTAGAAGGGGTTTTTTTTGAAAATTGAGGGGTGGAAAATGAGGGGGTAGAAAAAAAGTGTAGGGATAAAAAAGAGGGGAGGTGTTTATGAAGAAAAGGGAAAAAGTGTGTCCCCGAAATTTTTAAAGCAAAAAAAACCTAAGGGGGCCAAAGAAAGGGGGGAAAAACCCCTGGGGAAAAAAAACCCCCAAGGAAGAACCCCCTGGAAAGACGGAAAGACAAAAAAATAAAAAAGGGAAAGGAAAGGGGGAAAATAGGAAAAATTTAAATTTTTAAATTTGGAGATTGATTAATAAAAATTGGGGCCCAAAGAGGGGAGGTAAATTAAAGGAATTTTTTGGGGGGATTAAAACAAGGGGGGTTTTTGGGAAAAAAGAGGGGGGGCGTTTTAAAAGAAAAAGGTTTGGTTTGGGAAAAAAAGGGCCTGACTTCAGCAAGGGCATTTTTTTGTTTTTAAGTTTTAAAAGGATGGCCAGTTTTAAAGTTCCAAATGGGGAAAAAAAGACCAATTTCAAATATTATTTTTTTTATAAAAATTTAGGTGGTGAATTTCCTTGGAAAATTTTTGGGGCCCCAATCTAAATGCCCCCAAGTGGAACGGCCCCCCCTTTCCCAAAGCTTTGATTTTTTTAGGTGACCGTTTAAGGAAAAAATTTTAAATTTCCTTTTTTTTGTCTTGCTTGTTAAAAGCCCCGGGGGTTAAAAGAAATTTAAAAAACCCCCTTTGGAAAAGGGGGAAAAAAGGGAACCCCCTTAAAATTAATCGACCTTTTTAAGGATTTTTTAAGGTTTTTTGTATTTTGGGGGTTTAAAAAGGGATTTTTTTGTTTTCCCTAGGGAAAAATTGGGTATTAAGGGGAAAAAACCCCCCCCAATAAAAAAAAAATCTTTAACGGGGGCCCCACTTACTAAAAAATTTTAAAAGAAATTAAAAATCTAAAAGTGGGTGTCGCAAAAACTGCCGGGTTTTAAAGAAATCCCATAAAACCATTGCTTCCATCATGGCCAAGCAAAAGAAAATCAAAGAAACTGTTGCTGCGAAAGGTGAAAACATGGTCACAAAACAAAGATCACAAATACTCGAAGATGTGGAGACCTTGTTGTTGGTGTGGATCAGCTAAAAACAGTTAGCAGGAGACAGTGTTATGCAGTCGATCATTTGTGGAAAGGCAAGGCAGTTGCATGATGATCTCATAAAGAAAATGCCTGGAACTAGTGCTGATGTTAGTGAATTTAAGACCAGCAAAGGCTGGATTGAGAGATTTAAGAAGTGTAGTGGCATACACAGTGTGGTAAGGCATGGCGAGGCTGCAAGTTCTGACAAATATGCAGCTGAAAAATATGTTCAGTAATTCAAAGGGTACATCGAGGCTGAACAATTCAAACCCCAACAAGTGTTCATTTGTGATGAAACAGGCCCCTTTTGGAAGAAAATGCCAAAGAGGACCTACATCACACAGGAGGAAAGGGCACTCCCAGGACACAAGCCTATGAAAGACAGACTAACTCTCATGTTCTGTAGTAATCCTAAAGGGGATTTCAAAGTGAAGCCTTTACTGGTGTATCACTCTGAAAATCCCAGAGTGTTCAAGAAAAGCGGTGTCACCAAGAGTAATTTGTGTGTGATGTGGAAGGCAGACAATAAGGCATGGGTCACGAGGAAATTTTCCTTGATTGGTTCAATAAAGTGTTTGGTCTGAGTGTGAAGAAATACCTCCTGGAAAATAAACTGGAACTCAAGTGCCTTCTGGTAATGGACAATGCTCCTGCTCATCCTCCAGACCTTTTTTTTTTTTTTTTTTTTCAACAAGTCGGCCGTCTCCCACCGAGGCAGGGTGACCCAAAAAAGAAAGAAAATCCCCAAAAAGAAAATACTTTCATCATCATTCAACACTTTCACCACACTCACACATTATCACTGCTTTTGCAGAGGTGCTCAGAATACAACAGCTTAGAAGCATATACGTATAAAGATACACAACATATCCCTCCAAACCGCCAATATCCCAAACCCCTCCTTTAAAGTGCAGGCATTGTACTTCCCATTTCCAGGACTCAAGTCCGACTATATGAACATAACCGGTTTCCCTGAATCCCTTCACTAAATATTACCCTGCTCACACTCCAACAGATCGTCAGGTCCCAAGTATCATTCGCCTCCATTCACTCCTATCTAACACGCTCATGCACGCTTGCTGGAAATCCAAGCCCCTAGCCCACAAAACCTCTTTTACCCCCTCTTTCCAACCCTTTCGAGGACGACCCCTACCCCTCTTTCCTTCCCCTATAAATTTATATGCTTTCCATGTCATTCTACTTTGATCCATTCTCTCTAAATGACCAAACCACCTCAACAACCCCTCTTCTGCCCTCTGACTAATGCTTTTATTAACTCCACACCTTCTCCTAATTTCCACACTCCGAATTTTCTGCATAATATTTACACCACACATTGCCCTTAGACAGGACATCTCCACTGCCTCCAACCGTCTCCTTGCTGCTGCATTTACCACCCAAGCTTCACATCCATATAAGAGTGTTGGTACTACTATACTTTCATACATTCCCTTCTTTGCCTCCATAGTAACGTTTTTTGACTCCACATATACCTCAACGCACCACTCACCTTTTTTCCCTCATCAATTCTATGATTAACCTCATCCTTCAAAAATCCATCCGACGACACGTCAACTCCCAAGTATCTGAAAACATTCACTTCTTCCATACTCCTCCTCCCCAATTTGATATCCAATTTTTCTTTATCTAAATCATTTGATACCCTCCAGACTTGGATGACCAAATTGTGGAGGAGTTTTGTTTAATTACAGTGAAGTTCTTGCCCCCTAATACCACTCCTCTCATCCAGTCCATGGACCAGCAGATCACCCTGACAAAGCTGTTTCAGGCCATGTTGGCAACATGTACAATGACAGTGTTGTGTCCCACTGTAGGGAAATTTTAAAGAAATGCCAGAAACAGAGCTCTCTGCAATACTTGTTGAGCAACAGGGGTCCAGTGACTCTCAATCTGGTCCTAGTAGCATTAAAAAACAAAGAAATGAAGTAACCCCAGAAAAGGACTTGATACCTGATGTCTTTATGGAAGGAGATTCCCCTTCTAAACAATAGTAACTTCTCCATCCTCTCCCCTCCTCCCATCTTCCATACTTCAACAAGTCTTCAAAAAAGGAAAGTGTCATGTTATTATTGTTTTATTCTTCATGTCTCATTGTTTTGTGTAGGTAAATGTATATTTCTTGTAAAAAAATTATTTTTTTTAATACTTTTGGGTGTCTGGAATGGATTAATTGGATTTACATTATTTCTCATGGGGAAAATGAATTTGGATATCGTCAAATTTGGTTTTAGTCACACTCTCCGGAATGGATTAATTATGATAACTGGGAGTCCACAGTATTAGAAAGGACAAGAGGAGCAGGAAATGAAGTAGATTCTACTACAGTGCCCCTCTATTTTGTTCACATAGATTACCTCTATTACTTTTACTACTACAATTACTACTACTATTTCTACACTAACATTCCATTCTCTGTCCCCCTTTTTTGCTGACCATCACTACTTTCTTATTGCCATCTCTATCACTGTTGCACTACATCTACTACTAACTACCACCACCACTACTAGTTAATGGTCCAAGTTGGACTTAAATTTTTTTTTTTTTTTTTTTTCAACAAATCGGCCGTCTCCCACCGAGGCAGGGTGACCCAAAAAAGAAAGAAAATCCCCAAAAAGAAAATACTTTCATCATCATTCAACACTTTCACCACACTCGCACATTATCACTGTTTTTGCAGAGGTGCTCAGAATACAACAGTCTAGAAGCATACACATATAAAGATACACAACATATCCCTCCAAACTGCCAATATCCCAAACCCCTCCTTTAAAGTGCAGACATTGTACTTAAATTGGACTTAAATATCATCATAAATTTCAGTCTTCTATGTGCAGGTTATTTGTGTAATGTGTTTCCTCTTTTCTTTGGGACATCCTACCTTAGTGGAAACCAGCCAGTGTTAAAAAAATGAATCAAAAAAGTATTATACAGACTTAGATACTCTCATATGGAAAAATAAAAGTCAAAGCTCTGTGGCTTGAACAAATCACTAATAACTAACACTTTGGAGATTAATCTTTGTTTTTGTCCATCCCAGATCATTATCAAGTTTTCACTTGATAATGGACTAAGACTGACGGAAATGTCTAAAATTTCCACTCCAAAGTGTCGGTTATTTGTGAATCTTGTCATTGTTGTGCAAAAATTATGGCAAGTAGAAAGAATTTTTTTTTTTTTTTTTTTTTCAACAAGTTGGTCGTCTCCCACCGAGGCAGGGTGAAAAGAAATATACTGTACTACTTTAAAGCTTACCTGTGCCTAATGTATGATCTGTGGCTGGACCAGGAGACAGTGTGTCTGTAGGACCATGCCACCAAATCCATGGTACCGTCCCATTATCATTAGAAATATACCATAAGCATGTTGGCAGCAAAAAGGACTCAAAGTCACAATCATTTTCTCCAAGTGGTTCTGAAAGCATAAGGTAATGAGAAGATTCTGATACTGTATTTAAGAAAAAATGTCAAAACCTGATTTCAGGCATTACAAAAGAAAGTTCATAAAAGTTTTTCATTATGTAATGTAGATCATAGGAAAGTGATTTTCAGTGAAACCTATTTTATAAATGGAATTCTTCAACTTTATCATAAAATACCATTACATATCTACACCATTATTGCCTCTGGCATTGATTATAAATTTCATTCCATATAACCTTCACATAGTACATCTTCCCTCTTATCTTTCTTATGATCTAATGAATTACTTGTCTTGGCCAAAATAAACTATAATTTTATTGCATATCTGAAACTTCATTCACAAATGGATCCAAGAACAAAACTTGATGTACACTTAAACCAACTCTTCTCTCTTGATGTTGTTCTATCCACTTTCTTTCTAATATCAAATGAATGAAATAATAAAGTTACTGGTACACATTTCCAACACTGACTCACCAGGTGTAGTGGTTGATCCTTCCTGTATGGTAGTGGATGTAGAGTCAGTGTTATTATTGGGTTGAGCTTCTTCAGGCCAAATGCTACACTGTCCAGTAAATGTCAGCACATCATCAATACCTGCATACAAACATCTAGTGAAAAATAATGTTTGTCATAAAATAATATAATAAAGACATTCACTGAAACTCCTCAGCCATCAACTTAAAATTCCCGACACACAGTACACCCAAAGAAGATACCAACACTGACTGATGACTGGTTCTCCCCACTGGGCAGACTGGTATCACCAGCTCCCTGCTATCACCAGAGCCCTATCACCAGCACCCTGATTCACGGTCAAAATTATCTAACTCAACTCCATTTCTTTTTAACAAATATTACACAAACAATATACACTACAGAAGAAATAATAGACCATACTGTACACAGAAGTAAACTTTAAAATTTATTCTTAGTGATTACACATCATATGTTAACCTCTGAGTTTATATCTGGAGGATAAGTTTCTATAAGAATGTCTAAAACTACTCATTTCCGAATGTGACTAAATAAGTTTCATACACAGTGCAACCTCAGCTTATGAGTGCCCCACCACACGAGTTTTTCAAGATATGAGCAGTTGCTCAGTCAAATTTTTGTTTCTGGATACGAGCAAAATTTCAGGATGCGGGTTTCCCCCTCAAGGGAGGTTCCTTAAATAAATAAACAAATAAATAAAATATTTATTTCTTTGCAAAGGTTACAATGTGTGTTTACATATATAATATGATTGGAGCAAAGAAAGCCACTATCATGCTGAGGCATTTCGGGCAGACTTAACCTTATGTATTTATAGACTACTTAAGACTTGACAGGTGAATAGTATTAGTGGTTACCAATGTTCTGCTAATTGTGGTGCCAGGTACTGGCAGCCTTCTGAATTTCTCCTTACTATTACATATTATTATTATTACTATTATATTGTATTATTATTATTATTACTGTTAAAATAATTATTATTAGTAGTAGTAGTAATAGTAGCACGTATGTGGTGAGGGGCTCTTGATCTAGGGAATTGGATCTGTGCTCCAGTTCCCTAAATTAATAATAATAATAATTATAATAATCCATACATACTAATAATAATAATAATTACCATTATTATAATAATACATATGTATTACTACTACTAATAATAATAATAACTATTATAATAATACATATGTTTGTATTAACCCTTTCAGGGTCCACAGGCCCTCTCCGAGACTTGTTCTCAGGGTCCCCCAAATTTAAAAAAAAAAATTATTTTTTCTTATGAAAAGATAGAGAATCATCTCCCAATCATAATGACACCAAAAGTATGAAATTTGATGGAAAACTTATGGAATTATGCTCTCGCAAAGTTAGCGGTCTCGACGATGTTGACGCATCGGCGATTTTGTCATTTTGAGCCCTATTTTCAGCCAATTCCCATGTACTAGTCGACAAAAATCATAACTATTTCACTAGAACTCCATTTTCTCTATCGAATGAGTACAAGAAGCCACCCATTTACCAATTTCAACTATCCAATACAGTGGCCAGAATTTAGCAATTTTGCCAATCTAACACAAATTTCAAAAGATGCCAATTTCCGAATAGGGTCCAGAATAAACAAGAAAGACATTCCTGGCACTAAAATAACATTTCCTCTGTTCATTAGTCATGTCCCTATGCCCCTCTTACATTCTTTTGCTTTCCACTTTGAATTTTTATTCTCACAAAAAATAGAAGATTTACTGTTATGCAGACTACTGCATTAGTGTAGAAATGGTATGAATAATATCAGCGCACTTGTGAAAGAATATTAGACTCACCAGTTGACATGTATTGGACACGTAGCATGATTTGTTTACTTTTGAACTTTGGTAAAAATCGAACATTTCTGCTACTTTGAGCTCAATTTCAAGGTACTTTTCATTGTAAAACCGGTTAAAATCATCTCAATTTCTGTAATATGTCTTCCAGTCTATAAAATGAGACCAGGAAAACTAGAATACAACAACAAATACCATACGAAAATACAGTGCAAAGTCGCTGTTTTAATCCAAAAACACGGTCAAAGTTTTTTTTTCTCATTACACACTGTGTGCTGCAGGATTTTTTTTATACTGTGCACACTGACCACATAGACCCATTCTTTCATATGTAGGCCTACCAGCTTTCTCTCACTAGATTTGAGGGCGCTAGAATTTAGGCATAATAGTACGTACGTCATGGACACTGGTGCATAAGCCGTAGTACAGCCGAAACCCTGAAAGGGTTAATAACAATAACAATAATTATATAATAATAATAATAATAATAATAATAATAATAATAATAATAATAATAATACAATATAACAGTGATGCATACCATAACAGTAGTACATTTGTCGTCATTTTTAGACATTTTCGTAATTTTTTTTTTTAAATTTTTGTGCCAAATGCTTCAAAATACAAATTGGAAACTCTAGGTAGCTGTAGGTACAGTTGCTATGACCACAGCTATCTCAGTGACAACCAACGGTCAAAAGGAAGAGTAGGTCCGCCGCTGAGTGACTGCAGCAGACCCTTGGACACGTAATTTTTTCTTATACTATTGTACAAATTTCTTACACAATGCCTCGACTGAAGAGATAGTATTCACGTACGATCAGTAAGAAGCTCAGGAAGAGATTATCAACTATGAAAAAAGCTAGAGAAATGAAGAAGGCAGCAGCAGAGAGTGAGGGAGCTAGTTAGAGATGGCCACCACCACCACTAATGTGGTCACAGTAATCATGTCTTCACCTATATATCGTACATCTGTCTTGACCACACCTGTGGTTACATATGTGACAACCTCACCACTAATTATAGAAAAATACAAGCTAGGTGTGGGGTTATGGACTCTGCAAGGTAGTACCAGCATAGTACTTCTACAATATGTACGATACTAGTTAAGAGTGTAGCAAGTAGATCAGCGAAAAGTGAGGTGAACAAAAAATAAAAAAACAACTGTAGCAGTTAAGTTCAGCAATAAAGTGTAGCATTAAGAGTGTAGCAAGTATGTTAAGTGATTAATAGAAAAAGGACGACATGAAACTATAGGGCCACTGACAACATACGCCACCCTGTGATATCTTCCACCACCCTCAAGTTCTGCCAGCATCTGCTCCAAGGTAAGTGTGTACTATAGTATACACACAATAACCACTTTATTTCTTTACATTCTCTAGTATGTTTTAATACTATGTTTTTATACAATATTTCTTATTTATAAATTACGTACATTGTTTCAGTGTTTTATGAAACTGTGATCTAGTGCAGTTAGCCTCACAAACACTCTGTTTTCTCTTATAACAAGAGCATGGGTAGACACTACAGTCAGAGTGGGAGAGTAAATGGTGGATGCTGCTGCCACTGCTGCCACTGCCGCTGGCACCATCACTCGCTAAATTATGGACTACAGTGGACCCCCGCCTTACAATAGTGATCGCTCTAACACAGATGGAAGTGTCAGTGAAGACCAATTTCATGGTTTTGAGGAGTTTGTGACCAAAAGCAATGCCCAGGATCCCAGAAGAAAGAAAAAGGAGAATGAGAGAGAGAGAATGAGAAAGAGAGAGAATGAGAAGAGGAGAATGAGAGAGAATGAGAATGAGAGAGAGAATGAGAAAGAAAATTAAAGAGAAAGAAAGAAGTAGAAAGAAGAAAAATAATTAGGTAGGAGGATGGAGGGGAAGCAGCTTCAGACCCCATTGTTTTGATAGGCGGTAGGGGGAGTGATTAATGATACAATACATATGTATGTCATTTTGACAGCTGCCGGACACTGACTCACCGCATTTAGAAGTCCACACACTCACACACAACACAATGAAAGTGTCTAGTGACTATATATGTGTATGTATGTATGTATGTATATATATATATATATATATATATATATATATATATATATATATATATATATTTATATATATATATATATGAAGGAGTGTGAGAGTGCAAAAGGAGAGCAGATGAAAGGTGGGAGTAGGCATGTCAAGAATTTTTATGAAAATAAGAAAAAATTTTGGAGTGAGTTAAACAAGTTAAGAAGCTAGGGAAGTATGGATTTCTCAGTTAAAAACGAGTAGGGGAGTTAGTAGATGGGGAGGGGAGGTATTAGGTAGATGGCGAGAAAATTTTGAGGAACTTTTAAATGTTAAGGAAGAAAGGGAGGCGGTAATTTCATGCACTGGCAGGGAGGTATACCATCTTTTAGGAGTGAAGAAGAGCAGAATGTAAGTGTGGTGGAGGTACGTGAGGCATTACGTAGAATGAAAGGGGGTAAAGCAGCTGGAACTGATGGGATCATGACAGAAATGTTAAAAGCAGGGGGGATATAGTGTTGGAGTGGTTGGTACTTTTGTTTAATAAATGTATGAAAGAGGGAAGGTACCTAGGGATTGGCGGAGAGCATGTATAGTCCCTTTATATAAAGGGAAAGGGGACAAAAGAGATTGTAAAAATTTATAGAGGAATAAGTTTACTGAGTATACAGGAAAAGTATACGGTAGGGTTATAATTGAAAGAATTAGAGGTAAGACAGAATGTAGAATTGCGGACGAGCAAGGAGCCTTCAGAGTGGGTAGGGGATGTGTAAATCAAGTGTTTACATTGAAAACATATATGTGAACAGTATTTAGATAAAGGTAGGGAAGTTTTTATTGCATTTATGGATTTAGAAAAGGCATATGATAGAGTGGATAGAGGAGCAATGTGGCAGATGTTGCAAGTATATGGAATAGGTGGTAAGTTACTAAATGCTGTAAAGAGCTTTTATGAGGATAGTGAGGCTCAGGTTAGGGTGTGTTAGAAGAGAGGGAGAATACTTCCCGGTTAAAAGTAGGTCTTAGACAGGGATGTGTAATGTCACCATGGTTGTTTAATATATTTATAGATGGGGTTGTAAAAGAAGTAAATGCTAGGGTGTTCGGGAGAGGGGTGGGATTAAATTATGGGGAATCAAATTCAAAATGGGAATTGACACAGTTACTTTTTGCTGATGATACTGTGCTTATGGGAGATTCTAAAGAAAAATTACAAAGGTTAGTGGATGAGTTTGAGAATGTGTGTAAAGGTAGAAAGTTGAAAGTGAACATAGAAAAGAGTAAGGTGATGAGGGTATCAAATGATTTAGATAAAGAAAAATTGGATATCAAATTGGGGAGGAGGAGTATGGAAAAAGTGAATGTTTTCAGATACTTGGGAGTTGACGTGTCGGCGGATGGATTTATGAAGGATGAGGTTAATCATAGAATTGATGAGGGAAAAAAGGTGAGTGGTGCGTTGAGGTATATGTGGAGTCAAAAAAACATTATCTATGGAGGCAAAGAAGGGAATGTATGAAAGTATAGTAGTACCAACACTCTTATATGGATGTGAAGCTTGGGTGGTAAATGCAGCAGCGAGGAGACGGTTGGAGGCAGTGGAGATGTCCTGTCTAAGGGCAATGTGTGGTGTAAATATTATGCAGAAAATTCGGAGTGTGGAAATTAGGAGAAGGTGTGGAGTTAATAAAAGCATTAGTCAGAGGCAGAAGAGGGTTTGTTGAGGTGGTTTGGTCATTTAGAGAGAATGGATCGAAGTAGAATGACATGGAAAGCAAATAAATCTATAGGGAAGGAAAGAGGGGTAGGGGTCGTCCTCGAAAGAGTTGGAAAGAGGGGGTAAAGGAGGTTTTGTGGGCGAGGGGCTTGGACTTCCAGCAAGCGTGCATGAGCGTGTTAGATAGGAGTGAATGGAGACGAATGATACTTGGGACCTGACGATCTGTTGGAGTGTGAGCAGGGTAATATTTAGTGAAGGGATTCAGGGAAACTGGTTATTTTCATATAGTCGGACTTGAGTCCTGGAAATGGGAAGTACAATGCCTGCACTTTAAAGGAGGGGTTTGGGATATTGGCAGTTTGGAGGGATATGTTGTGTATCTTTATATGTATATGCTTCTAAACTGTTGTATTCTGAGCACCTCTGCAAAAGCAGTGATAATGTGTGAGTGTGGTGAAAGTGTTGAATGATGATGGAAGTATTTTCTTTTTGGGGATTTTCTTTCTTTTTTGGGTCACCCTGCCTCGGTGAGAGACGGCTGACTTGTTGAAAAAAAAAATATATATTTTTTTTTTTTTTTTTTTTTTTTTTTTTTTCAACAAGTCGGCCGTCTCCCACCGAGGCAGGGTGACCCAAAAAAGAAAGAAAATCCCCAAAAAGAAAATACTTTCATCATCATTCAACACTTTCACCACACTCGCACATTATCACTGTTTTTGCAGAGGTGCTCAGAATACAACAGTCTAGAAGCATACACATATAAAGATACACAACATATCCCTCCAAACTGCCAATATCCCAAACCCCTCCTTTAAAGTGCAGGCATTGTACTTCCCATTTCCAGGACTCAAGTCCGACTATATGAAAATAACCGGTTTCCCTGAATCCCTTCACTAAATATTACCCTGTTCACACTCCAACAGATCGTCAGGTCCCAAGTACCATTCGTCTCCATTCACTCCTATCTAACACGCTCACGCACGCTTGCTGGAATATATATATATATATATATATATATATATATATATTATAGAAACCAAAAGGAATGAGGAAAGAAAGAATAAAGAAAGAAAGAATGAAGAAAGAAAGGCTTTAGGTAGGAAGGAATAATGACACATTTACCTAGGATACTACCTAACACAACTGTCTGCTACTACTATGAAGAAAACTGCTAAGACAAAATGTTTTGTCTGTACACATAAAAAAAGAAAGCACACAAAAACACAGACACACTCATTTTATGTGTGAGGAGTGTAAAACACCATTGTGTATGAAACCATGTTTCAAAGAGTTCCACAAGCTGCAGAACTTCTAGGGACATGTATAGTGACTGTACATGTGTATATATATTACAGAACAATTGTAATAAAATTTTTTTTTGTATTATTTGTTTATGTAAACAAGTTTTGTAAGCAATATATTGATAATTATGTTTGTGCACTTATTGTGTTGTATACAATGAGTGTATATGTGTACATTGCACCCTACTTTGGATTCACAGGCCACATAAGTTAAGCGAAAAAATAAAATAGTGAAAAAAACACGAAACCTTCAAATGCAAGTAAACCAAAGTTTACCAGGTGAGTGGCATTCGCGGCTGTTGCCATACGTGGCTCATTTTCTGCCAACTTTACTCCCTGGGAATTCTTTGCTTGCCTAAATCTTGGGCATGACCTACTTCCACATTGGACAAATGTGACACCACCTACGACTGCTGCACCTCTCCTGCCATACGGTTTATAAGCTGCTTCTCCGCTCATATGCCGCATTCTATTCAAGATTGATGGACTGACCACATTGACTCAAGGTTGAGGGACTGATTACCTCATTCTCCTCCTGTTCTTCAAGTTTATCCTTTGTATGGACTGATGAAGCCACTGTGTGGTGAAACGTTTCCTCAATAAAGATACCCAAGAGTTGCACATGTGTCTAATTTAACAACTTTACTCCTCTATATTTCCATAAGTACTGATTGCAAAAATTTGTTTTGGGGCTTAAAACAATTAGAAAATTAATCTTTACATTTTCATATGAAAAAATAATTTTTTTTTTCTGAATATTCTTTGACACCAGGAGACACTTCAGGATTTGGGGTTGCGACAGTCAAAGGGTTATCATCACTCTCTTATTTACCCCTATCTCACCTATGGAATTTGTGCATGGGGCTCAACAACAATTAACCATCTCAGACCACTAATTACCCAACAAAAGGCTGCAGTTAGAATGATAACAAATTCTCACTACAGGCAGCACACTCCACCAATATTCAATACACTAAACCTACTCACCATACAAAACATCCATACTTATTACTGCACCTATTACATACATAGAACACTTAACTCTGATATTAACCCTCCCCTCAAACATCTCCTTGCCAACCTCAACAGAACACATGACCATAACACAAGGCACAGATCACTCTTTGATATTCCTCGTGTCCATCTCACACTATGCAAAAACTCAATGCACATAAAAGGCCCTAAAATCTGGAATTCATTACCTGTAAATATAAAAGAAACACAACTGTTTATAAATTCAAGTCTCTTCTCAAAGATTACTTACTCACCCAAAACCAAATAAATACTGAATAACTGAACATTATAAATTGTATATCTTAAATGTTTCTCACAATTATATCACATAAATGTTAAACCTAAAACCCAATCTAACTTATTATTTTTTAAATACACTACCAAACAGAATCACTACCTAACTGAATGCAACCATATGACCTGTCTTTGTAATACTCACTTGTGCTTTATAGTTATCTGTTTACATTAATGTTTTATCACTGATTTCATCATTGCTTAGTAGCAGCGCTGTATAGTCCTTGTGGCTTAGCGCTTCTTTTTGATTATAATAATAATAATAATCATTGCTTAGTTAATCTTAAGTTAATTTTAAGCCAGCCCGTAATGCTATGCATAGTATAAGTGGCTTTGGCATACTGCTCTTATCTGTATTTTTTTGTACCTCTGTATGTGTGCACAAATTGGAAATAAAAAATAAAAAAAAAAAATAAAAAAAAAAAAAAATAAATAAAAAAAAAATAAATTATCCCCAGCAGTATTCTCCAATAGTGTAAAAAAGAATTACTATTATTTTTAGCTGAATTCAGACTAATGGTAGTGCAGACCAGCAGGAGGATTTATTTGGGTAAAGGAGAAATATGTGCAAAGAAGTGATAGATACATTTGACTAAAGAGGGTTGCCAGCATCTTGGCTAACACCAAGACAATGGTAGTCAAATTCTCTAAATATTTTCAAGAATGAGGTGACTCTTGGGCTGACTGTATACCTAGCAAGTACCAGAAGCACAAGAATCAATAAATAAAAATGGTAAACCTCTTCTCACCATGATCCTCGTCCACTCACCATGGAGCCCAATTAGGGTAAGCAATGAGTGGATAAAAGAGGGTCCAGTGGTAAGAAACAGAGATATACGTAAGCAACCATTAGAGCCTAGCAGCAGCCAAAAGACTGAGTGAGTAACCAACAAATCCCCATTTGACTATAACCAGAAAATGAGCACCCTACTGATTCACTTGAGCCATCACTGAACCTTCCATTTTACCTTCATCTACCTGCTTATGAAGTGTGCTACCTATCAAGGGCCACATCACCAGGAATAGATTCAACTAACAAGCAAGTAAAAAATGAAGAGTATGTAAGGCAAACACATGGAATAGCTCTTTTTTTTTTTTTTTTTGCAGCCATAGTTTCAGTGAAATGGAAAACCCTCAGCCAGTATGGTCAACAGCATTGAAGGAGATGGCACTCACCTTACCATATAAAAGTGACTGCCCAAAGGAAAAATATTTTCCAAAATAAGTCATTAACTTTTCTTTTAACAGGGTTGCATGAGATATATTTTATACAGTGTATTCATTATATAAATATAAGAAAACTATTTAATACTAACAAATCTTCTCCAGTTGATTGGCTCCCACAATGCCTTCCAGCTGAATGAAGAAATAACCATCTGTAACTCCATGGAGTGGAACACGACCTACATTCCAGGGACTTGACTGTACACTGCTCATGCTCCAAACCAGGATGCGCATCTCTTCTACAGGCTACAGGGAATGACACAACATATGTAAATCATTCTGCTTACTCAGTTTACTGTGAAAAATTAGTAACAATGCATGCCAGAAGCACGAAATGTGAGAAATGGGAAAAAAATATTTTTAAGGAGAATAACAAATAGAACAGTCATAAAATTATGATGAGAAAGAACATGAATGAACTCGAATGAATAAACTCAAATGAACTTGGCTAGGCAAAAATCAAAGAAAAATATACATTTCTGTAATACAGTGGTCCCTCGTTTTTCGTAATTAATCCGTTCCTGGAGGAGCTACTATAAACGAAATTTACAATTTGCGAATCAATTTTCCCCATAAGAAATAATGTAAATACAATTAAACCGTTCCTGACACCCAGAAAGTATTAAAACAAAAAAATTTTTTAACATGAAATATACATGTAGTACATAACAATACAATGGGTAATGATGAATGAAACATTAACAGCAAAACACTTACCTTTATTGGAGATTCTTCTTAGTGTATGGGAGACTGGAGGAGGAGAGAGAGTGGGTTGTTTATAGTTTGGAAGGGGAATCCCCTTCCAGCAACACCTCAGGTGCCAATTGCTTTTCTGGGGTTGCTTGTCTTCTCTGTTTCTTAATGCCACTAGGACCACCTTGAGAGTCACTGGAGTCCTGTCTTGCAAAATAACTGTGGAGAGAGCTCTGTTTCTGGCGTCTCTTTAACACTTCCCTAAAATGGCCCAAGACTTTGTTACTGTACATGTTGCCAACATGGCTTGCAACAACCTTGTTAGGGTGATGTTTCTCCATAAAGCTTTCCATCTTACCCCACATAGTAAAAATCTCTTTAATTTCTGAAGAAGGCACCTTCTTCCAACTCTCTTCCGCCTCCTCTGCAGCAAGATTCTGAGCTGCGATGTGTTGCTCTTCCTGCCGAAGCTCTTGCAGGTCCTCAGTGGTGAGCTCTTCGTTGTGGTCTTCCACCAATTCTTCCACATCCTCCAAACTCACATCCAACCCCATGGAACTCCCCAGTGCCACAATTGATTTTACAACAGACATAGGCTCATCAGGGTCAGCCCCAAACCCTTCATAATCCCTCTTGTCGACACAATCTGGCCACAATTTTCTCCAGGCAGAGTTCAAAGTCCTGATAGTCACTCCCTCCCAAGCCACACCTATAAGGGTTATGCAATGGAGGATGCTGAAGTGTTCTCTCCAAAATTCCCTTAGGGTCAAGTGAGTGTCTGTGGTCATAGTCAAGCACCTGTGAAACATTGCTTTTGTGTAGAGTTTTTTTAAAGTTTGCAATGACCTGCTGGTCCATGGGCTGGAGGAGAGGAGTGGTATTTGGGGGCAAGAACTTTACTGTGATGAACCCAAACTCTTCAAAAATTAGGTCATCCAAGTTTGGAGGATGAGCAGGTGCATTGTCCATTACTAGCAGGCACTTGAGTCCAATTTCTTTTCCAGGAGATACTCTTCACACTAGGGCCAAACACTTCATTGAACACTCGACGAAAATTTCCCTCGTGACCCATGCCTTACTATTAGATTTCCAAAACACACACAATTTACTCTTCATAACATTGTTTTTCCTGAACACTCTGGGATTTTCAGAATGGTACACTAGTAATGGCTTCACTTTGAAATCCCCACTAGCATTAGCACAGAACATTAGCGTCAGCCTGTCTTTCATAGGCTTGTGTCCTGGCATTGCCTTTTCCTTTTGTGTAATGAAGGTCCTCTTTGGCATTTTCTTCCAAAAGAGGCCTGTTTCGTCACAATTGAACACTTGTTCAGGTTTCAGTCCTTCAGTCTCTATGTACTCCTGGAATTCATGCACATATTTTTCAGCTGCCTTGTGGTCTGAACTGGCAGCCTCACCATGCCTTACCACACTGTGTATGCCAGTACAGTTCTTAAATCTCTCAAACCAGCCTTTGCTGGCCTTAAATTCACTCACATCACCACTAGTTGCAGGAAATTTCTTTACCAAATCGTCATGCAACTGCCTAGCCTTTTCACAAATAATCGAAGTCATAAGAGTATCTCCTGCTAATTGTTTTTCATTTATCCACACCAATAATAACTTCTCAACCTCTTCGAGTACTGGTGATCTCATTTTTGTCAGCATAGTTACCCCCTTTGCAACAACAGCGACCTTGATTTCCTTTTTCTTGGCCACTATGGAACAAAGGTTGTGTAGGGTTTCTTATATAAGAAACACTACACCCTGGCCAGTTCGGCCACACTTGTACCACTTTCATATTGTTCAATGATGGTTTTCTTAAATTCAATCATATTTCTCACCTTCTTTACCACAGGCTTGGCACTAGGAGCTTTCTTTGGAGCCATGGTGGCTTATTTAGTACTTGCAAGCACTTGAGTCCTGGAAATGGGAAGTACAATGCCTGCACTTTAAAGGAGGGGTTTTGGGATATTGGCAATTTGGAGGGATATGTTGTGTATCTTTATACGTATATGCTTCTAAACTGTTGTATTCTGAGCACCTCTGCAAAAGCAGTGATAATGTGTGAGTGTGGTGAAAGTGTTGAATGATGATGAATGTATTTTCTTTTTGGGGATTTTCTTTCTTTTTTGGGTCACCCTGCCTCGGTGGGAGATGGCCGACTTGTTGAAAAAAAAAAAAAAAGCACTAAAATAAATGGAATACAGTGGACCCCCAGTTAACGATATTTTTTCACTCCAGAAGTATGTTCAGGTGCCAGTACTGACCGAATTTGTTCCCATAAGAAATATTGTGAAGTAGATTAGTCCATTTCAGACCCCCAAACATACACGTACAAACGCACTTACATAAAATACACTTACATAATTGGTCACATTCGGAGGTAATCGTTATGCGGGGATCCACTGTATTACGAAATATTTTGCTGGAGCACGTGAGGGGACCTTCGCTCACTGGTAAACAATGCCAGACAGGCTGCTGCCACGGCTCATGCCGTGGGTACGCATCCTGGACAAACTACGACTGGTGAGTGAACCTATGAAAAGCGAGTCCATGTTTATACGAAAATACCCCTATGATTGGCGAAATTTACGATTGCCGAGAACTACAAAAAGCGAGGGACCACTGTATTCTATTTTATAAAAATGATGAAACTTTGAATTATGAGAGATTTTAGAGCATTATCTCAATTAAATATTCCTGTGCTTACAAGAATTTAAATAAAGCAGATAAATGAACTTTAAAATAGGCATGGATATTACTATTATATAATGGAATGAGACAATAAAGCTAACAGATATCCATCATATATCAACCATTTCTTATATACTAACAATAACAAATTACAATATATCTGAAAATACAGGCATAGAGACAGAAAGTACACTGACATTACACACCCAAATGAGCCATAGAGGTAACAGGAAAAAACACTGAGTGTAATAGTGCAGAGACCTTGTAAAAATGTTACTATTATGTCCATTTGCTTCATCCTTTGTGGATGATTTAGGGTCATAGACAGCAACCATTCAGGGAGGTACTATTATCCTGTCAAGTGAATGTAACACAGAAACATGTATTTGTTTTACATGATGGTAGGAGTGCTGTCTCATAAACACAAGATAACAGGTATATCTTGCTACTTTTACTTACAATTAGTTCACACATGCATGTACACTTTTATGTATACACACTCATTTGAATTTTCTTTGTTTTTTCTGAATAGTTCTTATTCTATTATTTTCCTTTCATATCCATGGAGAAGTGGAATAAGAATCTTTCCTCCATAAGTCATGCGTGTAGTAAAAGTCAACTAAAATACCAGGAGCAATGGGCTAGTAACTCCTTTTCCTGTACAACTTACTAAAAATAAAAATAAAACCCTTAAGTTGGGATCTTTGAATGCACGTTGATGTAGTGCAGACGATAAGAAAGAGATGAGTGTGGATGTTATGAATGAAAAGAAGCTGGATGTCCTGGCTCTAAGTGATATAAAAGCTGAAGGGGTTAGGAAGTGTTTCAGTGGGAAGAAATAAATGGGATTAGGTCAGGGGTTTCTAATAGAGTTAGAGCTAAGGAAGGAGTAGGAATAATGTTGACGGATCAGTTATGGCAGGAAAAAGAGGGAATATAAATGTATAAATTCAAGGATTATGTGGCGTAAAATAAGAGTCAGGATATGAAAAGTAGGTTATAGTAGGTGTTTATGCACCTCGAGAAGAGAGAAGTGTAGAGGAGAAAGAGATTTTGGGAGATGTTGAATGTTTGGGGAGTTTTGATACAAGTGAGACAGTATTTATGTTATTTTATTTTTTTATTATTAGCACACTGGCCGATTCCCACCAAGGCAGGGTGGCCCAAAAAAGAAAAACTTTCACCATCATTCACTCCATCACTGTCTTGCCAGAAGGGTGCTTTACACTACAGTTTTTAAACTGCAACATTAACACCCCTCCTTCAGTATTTATGATTAGGTACGTAAATGCTAAAGTAGGTAAAACTGTTGTGGAGGGAGTAATAGGTAAGTTTGGGTGCCAGGGGTAAATGAAAATGGGCTGCCTTTAATTGAACTGTGTATAGAAAGAGGCTTGGTAATAAGTAATACATATTTTCAGAAAAAGAGGATAAATAACTATACAACATGTAATGAAAGTAGCTTGTTTGATTATGTATTGGTGGATAAAAGGTTGATGGGTAGGCTTCAGGATGTGTATGTTTATAGAGGGGCAACAGATAAATTGGATCATTATTTAGTTGTAACTACAGTTAGAGTTAGAGGTAGATGGAGCAAAAGGAAAACGGCAACAGTAAGTATGAGGCGAAAGTTCATTGTTTAAGGGAAGAGGAAGTTAGGGTGACATATGAGCAACTATTGGGAGAAGGATGGGCTAGTAAGAGAGTAGGTAGTGTGGGGGGGGGGGGGTTGAAGAGGGGTGGAATAGTTTCAAAAATGCAGTGTTAGAATGTGGGGCAGAAGTTTGTGGCTATAGGAGGGTGGGTGCAGGAGCAAAGAGGAGTGATTTGTGGAATGATCAGGTAAAGGGTGTGAT